CTTCTAGGGTAGTGAGCCAGTGTGAAAAACAATTCCTAAAGTACAACGTTAAGAACATGTAACATTAATCAAAATGCACAAGAAACTTACCTCTTCATGTAAAACAGTGAAGACATCTCTGCTTTCTCTTTTACATGAGAACAAATGATCTTGGGCGCGGCACTAGCGAAGAGGTCTGCAAAAAAAAAAGTAAAAGATTTACTGACTTTAATCACGCCTCTAACAATCTGAGGAATTGTTACAAGTCACCAATCAGTGCAATTCCGACTGCCTCTATAAGGGCATCAAAAACGAACAATTTTCTCGTTCTTTATACCCTCACAAGACGCTCCGTCAATGGAATCTAATCCAAATTTGACGCTGTGCTTCCTATTTGCCTGCTTTCTAGACGTAGGGCTGCGAACATGTGTTTTGTGCACCTAATCTAGCGCAGAAATTCGTCATCTATAATTCAATCATCTTAATTCATTGTAATTTGATAAAAGGTGTGATAGCTCGTCCAGTTTTTAAAGAGTTGCGGGCCTGCCATAGGCACTGCCTTGCACGTATGAAAGTACTTCTTTAAAAAAAAATCAAAGCTTGCTTTCAGAAAAAGCGTCTGGCATATTTCGACAACCAAGTTCATCCTCTGATGGCATTCAGGGGCACGCTATTAGCGATTATTGACTACGGGATTTACAAACGTAACCCGTGCCTAAATACTCAGTTAAACACAATCACGCAAGTAAGAGCACTCGAACGACACCAACGCGCGCGGACGCCGACTACGTTGCAGCAGCCATGGCTTATGCTAGAGCTACCGCACATAGCTCGAACAGTCACGTATACTCTCTCGATTCTGTTATAACGCCGAACATTATCGCAGATGAAAGCGAAGCACAAAAACAGCAAACAGAAACGAGGGAAAACAACGCACGGCGATGGCCACAACAACGCGCCTTTGGAAGTCTGCTAGATCTTTCCCTGTTGCTAGTGGCACTTGTCCTAAATAGCTTAAAAGACCGAGGCGCACGTGCTGGGAGCATCGCGGCATATCAGCACCTCCAACTATACCGTCTTTAAGCAAAAAAAAAAAGCCATTTCGTACAGTGCGCCTCTGTACATAATTTTTGCTTTTTCTTTTTTTTTGCGCTTACACCTACAGAAGCACGTTGCACATTTGAGTATTATTATGAATGTTATTACGATGTAGTCCAAAGCACATCTTAAAACAATATCAATCACTTTGTGCAGTGTAGAGACAATGTGCGATCAGCAACTAATCCCGCCCTTGTTAAGTGATCACATCACTCACTGTATGAGTGATGCAGGCACTTACACAACATCGCGCACAGCAGTGTGAACTCGTTAAGTCACACGTTTAATCGGGCATCTGCAACAGGCCCGCGAACGCATGCTGTTGTAAATGGCTGGCAGCCTACTTCGGCAGAGCTGCTGCAGGCGCCCAGCTAGCGCTGTATGATTACTATTTACGAAAACAGTACACTCACCGTTAACAGGCCCGCGTTGTCCGTGTCCGCCACTCCATGAATATTCCTTAATCCGAGCGTCACTTCGAACACGGTGTCATGCGTGACCACCATTGAATATGCGCCTGTTCGCTAGAACACACACAGCGACCAAGACCCCAGACCAACGCAACGCGTTTGAAAGACGATGAGACAGAGAGAGCGCCTTTGAGAGAGAGAAGGAGGAGGCACTGGCGGCGGCTAAAGCACCGCGGCGGCGCCGCAGCTGTCGACGCAGGTGTTTGGTGACGCAACTATTCGCTTATCTACGCCGCCGTTGTGGGAGAACGCTGGCCGGGGTGAGCGGGGGGGGGGGGGGGGGGAGCGGGAAACCCGCCAGGACGGCGCCGAAGAGCAAACGCTATGGCGCATACGGCGGACGGCCGTTCCTCGCGGAATGACTCCTTGTAAATGGCAACTCTCCTTCCAGCCAGTCGCACAGCGACGCAGGTTATTTACCAGCCTCGGGTTCTTGGAGTATTTTGACGGAATGCGATTGCAGTGGGCGAAAAACAGTGAAGCAAAACTTGCGGAAAACAAAGTGCACCATGGAATGGCCAGAAACAATAATTATTTCGTCCTCGGTGGCATTAGCGGGAGAGCATCGCTACACCTTTTTCCAGAGGAATTTCTTTTTGCATTGTCTGTGTCTGGCACTTCCGCGTATGGTGCCGCAAACACTAAATGCGTAGTCGAAGCTGGAACAAATTAATCCACAGTCGCGGATGTTTAGAAGTCTTGTCACGCACCACGAAACGTGCCAAAGTTGTTATAACAAGCTTTTTGCTGACCACAAGGTCAGCACATAATTCCAAATGGTTACCCAATGAGCTAGCTAAGCACCTGTAGCAAAGGCAGAGCACGTTCTTGTTAAACGTTGTTAATATAAACGATGGTTGTGCATAAGTGCAGTGACAGCTTTCCGTGGGAATTGGTCATAACCCACGTTTTCGAGCGTAGAAGCACCTCAGCATACCTAATCAGCTATCACAGCAAGTTCGTAAGCAACGCTCAGGTACGAAAATGTGCAGCTGTTTTCCATGTACTGAATAGTCCATGTACAGTGCGTTGACAACCGCCATTCCTTAAGCCACCTCCCATGTAGACTCCTAGTATGAACAGGTGTGGGACCTTAAACAATAAGAAGCAGTGCCTCCCCCCCCCGCACACACACACACACGAAATTCGAGGGCGCACGGGCTGATACACACGCATACTTATTCACAGGCGCACACACATACACGTATACACACATACGGTCACACACACACGCGACCGTAAACGCACGCATGCATGGGCGTAAACATGTGCACAGGCACGCTTAACACAAGCACGGACTTGCACATACACGCGCACGCACACATGCACGGGTGTACACACAATCGCGCTTACACACACACACACCCATACTCGGGCGAACATTATTTGTGTGTATATAATCCTTAGCAAACACGCAGCTTATAACCAACGCTAAGGAAAGCTTTCGTAACATGGATTGCAGTTAATTGCCATTATAGATGAAACGCGATTTGCTTCTGCTGACATTCTGCTGTATTCGGAGAGCACCTTCACACATTCTAAGTCAATTAGGCCGTCATTTAACGCAAGGTCCACATATTCGTGCAGTAGCTGCGCTGCTCGGCCGCCAACCCGAAAGTCGCGGGTTCGATGCCGGCCGTGGCAGTCGAATTAAGGCGGAGGCGAAAAGGTAGAAGCCTTTGCACTCTGCGATATGAGCGCTCATTAAAGAACACCAAATGGTGAAAATCTCTGCAGCTTTCCACTACGACGACCCTCATAATCATATGGAGGTTTTTGAGACGTAAAATCCCAAATATTATATTTATGTGTTCTTCTTATGCTGCATATTCCATCTGATGAATCGGCACCTACACCCTTCTCAGGCACAAAAGCACCCTTAGAGCCTATTTTAGGGTGCTATTGAGGCAAGCACCCAGACAAAGCGGTGCTTTTTTTTCAATCGACCATTTATGGGTGTTACAGGGTGTTGCAAAGGGTGCTTTCTCGTAAAAGCACCCTTTTTACACCCTTTTGGGTGCAAAAATTTTTACTGTGTGTTAAATCCCGCTTTAACTCTTCTCCCGTGTGCCGAAATAGCTCAGTTGGGAGAGCGTTAGACTGAAGATCTAGAGGTCCCTGGTTCGATCCCGGGTTTCGGCGTCCTATGCGCTTTTTTTGTTAAATCTTTCGGTACACAGGAATTTAGCAATAATTCTAAGGAGTTAAACAATTACGCAGGTAAACACACATGCTTGATTAAGAAATGCTGATTCAGAATGCATCGGGGCAGTAGGCAATGCGAAAGAACCGCAAAAGCGTGAGAGACAAGAAATAATGCGCAACAGCTCTAATAAAGCAGCTTTACCGAAGCGCAAGAACTGGTAAATCCCGTTTTCACTCTTCTCGCGTGTGCCGAAATAGCTCAGTTGGGAGAGCGTTAGACTGAAGATCTAAAGGTCCCTGGTTCGATCCCGGGTTTCGGCGTCCTATGCGCTTTTTTTGTTAAATCTTTCGGTACACAGGAATTTAGCAATAATTCTAAGGAGTTAAACAATTACGCAGGTAAACACACATGCTTGATTAAGAAATGCTGATTCAGAATGCATCGCGGCAGTAGGCAATGCGAAAGAACCGCAACAGCGTGAGAGACCTGAAATAATGTGCAACAGCTCTAATAAAGCGGCTTTACCGAAACGCAAGAACTGTTAAATCCCGCTTTAACTCTTCTCCCGTGTGCCGAAATAGCTCAGTTGGGAGAGCGTTAGACTGAAGATCTAAAGGTCCCTGGTTCGATCCCTAGTTTCGGCGTCCTATGCGCTTTTTTTGTTAAATCTTTCGGTACACAGGAATTTAGCAATAATTCTAAGGAGTTAAACAATTACGCAGGTAAACACACATGCTTGATTAAGAAATGCTGATTCAGAATGCATTGCGGCAGTAGGCAATGCGAAAGAACCGCAACAGCGTGAGAGACCTGAAATAATGTGCAACAGCTCTAATAAAGCGGCTTTACCGAAACGCAAGAACTGTTAAATCCCGCTTTAACTCTTCTCCCGTGTGCCGAAATAGCTCAGTTGGGAGAGCGTTAGACTGAAGATCTAAAGGTCCCTGGTTCGATCCCTAGTTTCGGCGTCCTATGCGCTTTTTTTGTTAAATCTTTCGGTACACAGGAATTTAGCAATAATTCTAAGGAGTTAAACAATTACGCAGGTAAACACACATGCTTGATTAAGAAATGCTGATTCAGAACGCATCGCGGCAGTAGGCAATGCGAAAGAACCGCAACAGCGTGAGAGACATGAAATAATGCGCAACCGCTCTAATAATGCAGCTTTACCGAAGCGCAAGAACTGGTAAATCCCGTGTTCACTCTTCTCGCGTGTGCCGAAATGGCTCAGTTGGGAGCTCTAATAATGCAGCTTTACCGAAGCGCAAGAACTGGTAAATCCCGTGTTCACTCTTCTCGCGTGTGCCGAAATGGCTCAGTTGGGAGAGCGTTAGACTGAAGATCTAAAGGTCCCTGGTTCGATCCCGGGTTTTCGGCGTCCTATGCGGTTTTTTTCTTAAATCTGTAGGTACACAGGAATTTTGCAATAATTCTAAGGAGATAAACAATTACGCAGGTGAACACACATGCTTGATTAAGAAATGCTGATTCAGAATGCATCGCGGCAGTAGGCGTTGCGAAAGAACCGGAACAGCGTGCGAGACATGAAATAATGTGCAACAGCTCCAATAAAGCGGCTTTACCAAAACGCAAGAACTGTTAAATCCCGCATTCACTCTTCTCCCGTGTGCTGAAATAGCTCAGTTGGGAGAGCGTTAGACTGAAGATCTAAAGGTCCCTGGTTCGATCCCGGGTTTCGGCATCCTATGCTCTTCTTCTGTTAAATGTGTCGATACACAGGAATTTTGCAATACTTCTAAGGAGTTAAACAATTACGCAGGTGAACACACATGCTTGATTAAGAAATGCTGATTCAGAATGCATCGCGGCAGTAGGCGTTGCGAAAGAACTGCAACAGCGTGAGAGACATGAAATAATGTGCAACAGCTCTAATAAAGCGGCTTTACCGAAACGCAAGAACTGTTAAATCCCGCTTTAACTCTTCTCCCGTGTGCCGAAATAGCTCAGTTCGGAGAGCGTTAGACTGAAGATCTAAAGGTCCCTGGTTCGATCCCGGGTTTCGGCGTCCTATGCTCTTTTTTGTTAAATCTGTGGGTACACAGGAATTTTGCAATAATTCTAAGGAGTTAAACAATTACGCAGGTAAACACACATGCTTGATTAAGAAATGCTGATTCAGAATGCATCGCGGCAGTAGGCAATGCGAAAGAACCGCAACAGCGTGAGAGACAAGAAATAATGCGCAACAGCTCTAATAAAGCGGCTTTACCGAAACGCAAGAACTGTTAAATCCCGCTTTAACTCTTCTCCCGTGTGCCGAAATAGCTCAGTTGGGAGAGCGTTAGACTGAAGATCTAAAGGTCCCTGGTTCGATCCCGGGTTTCGGCGTCCTATGCGCTTTTTTTGTTAAATCTTTCGGTACACAGGAATTTAGCAATAATTCTAAGGAGTTAAACAATTACGCAGGTAAACACACATGCTTGATTAAGAAATGCTGATTCAGAACGCATCGCGGCAGTAGGCAATGCGAAAGAACCGCAACAGCGTGAGAGACAAGAAATAATGCGCAACAGCTCTAATAAAGCAGCTTTACCGAAGCGCAAGAACTGGTAAATCCCGTTTTCACTCTTCTCGCGTGTGCCGAAATGGCTCAGTTGGGAGAGCGTTAGACTGAAGATCTAAAGGTCCCTGGTTCGATCCCGGGTTTCGGCGTCCTATGCGGTTTTTTTTCTTAAATCTGTAGGTACACAGGAATTTTGCAATAATTCTAAGGAGATAAACAATTACGCAGGTGAACACACATGCTTGATTAAGAAATGCTGATTCAGAATGCATCGCGGCAGTAGGCGTTGCGAAAGAACCGGAACAGCGTGCGAGACATGAATAATGTGCAACAGCTCCAATAAAGCGGCTTTACCAAAACGCAAGAACTGTTAAATCCCGCATTCACTCTTCTCCCGTGTGCTGAAATAGCTCAGTTGGGAGAGCGTTAGACGGAAGATCTAAAGGTCCCTGGTTCGATCCCGGGTTTCGGCATCCTATGCTCTTCTTCTGTTAAATGTGTCGATACACAGGAATTTTGATATACTTCTAAGGAGTTAAACAATTACGCAGGTGAACACACATGCTTGATTAAGAAATGCTGATTCAGAATGCATCGCGGCAGTAGGCGTTCCGAAAGAACTGCAACAGCGTGAGAGACATGAAATAATGTGCAACAGCTCTAATAAAGCGGCTTTACCGAAACGCAAGAACTGTTAAATCCCGCTTTAACTCTTCTCCCGTGTGCCGAAATAGCTCAGTTCGGAGAGCGTTAGACTGAAGATCTAAAGGTCCCTGGTTCGATCCCGGGTTTCGGCGTCCTATGCGCTTTTTTTGTTAAATCTGTGGGTACACAGGAATTTTGCAATAATTCTAAGGAGTTAAACAATTACGCAGGTAAACACACATGCTTGATTAAGAAATGCTGATTCAGAATGCATCGCGGCAGTAAGGCAATGCGAAAGAACCGCAACCGCGTTGAGAGAGACCTGAAATAATGTGCAACAGCTCTAATAAGCTGCTTTACCGAAACGCAAGAACTGGTTAAATCCCGCTTTTAACTCTTCTCCCGTGTGCGAAATCGCTCCAGTTGGGAGAGCGTTCGACTGAAGATCCTAACGGTCCCTGCGTTCGATCCCTAGTTTCGGCGTCCTATGCGCTCTTTTTTTGTATAATCTTTCGGTACACAGGAATTTAGCAATAATTCTAAGGAGGTTTAACAATTACGCAGGTAAACACAATGCTTGATTTAAGAAATTGCTTGATTCCGAATGCATTCGCCGGCAGTAGGCCAATGCGAAAGAACCGCAACAGCGTGAGAGACATGAAATAATGTGCAACAGCTCGAATAAAGCGGCTTTACCGAAACGCAAGAACTGTTAAATCCCGCTTTAACTCTTCTCCCGTGTGCCGAAATAGCTCAGTACTTCCGGTCACCGTAGTGTACGGACGTGGCGGCATGAGCTCCGGCGATATCGGAGCGGCATCAACGGCCCAGCTCGGTCGTGGTACCAGGAACATGGACGAATCGTCACAGGATTATCAGATTATTTTGCCCCGACTGCCATCAAACGATTCAACGCTGCATACTGTCTTTTTGCACGCCGATATCAAGGCGCGGCCGTATCGCGTTGAGGATTTCAGGGACGCTCTTATTCGTTTGGCTTTGCTTCCCGAGGTTGCTGCCTTGGGGGCGTACCAAATGAATCATGTTTGGGCCATCACTTTCAAGGACGAGGAGGGCAAGAAGAGAATACTCGCTGCTGGGGACATTGTGGTGAAGAACCAGCGCTGTATCACTATCGACCCTAACCACCAGGATACGAAGCTGAAGATACACTGGCTATTGTTTAACGTTCCTGACGACGAGGTGAGGGCAGCGTTGGCTCCTTATGGCAAGGTGAACGAAATAGTGCGAGAGCGCTGGCGCGTGTATGGATGCACGGACAAAGGCTCTTCGACGCGAGTGGTGAGCATCAGGCTTAAAGCTGGCCTCACGGTGGATGACCTCCCACATCAGTTGCGGATTGCCGGAGACCTCACGCTAGTTGTCGTCGCGGGAAGAGCACCGCTATGCCTGCGTTGCCGCGGAACAGGTCATATTAGGAGGGATTGCCGAGCCCCACGTTGTACAGTGTGTCGGCGTTTTGGGCATAATGAGAGCGGCTGTATGAGAACATATGCAAGTGTAGCAGGGCCCGCGGGGGGCGAAGAACTTTCCGAGCATCACATGGACGAGGCTGAAGCAGAAGAGCTGATAGGGGCGCGTCGGGAGGAACCGAAACCCAAGTTGACGCCCCTTACGCCACGCCCCACAGGTGCTGAGACGACGCTTAACAAAGACAAGGGTTCTACAAAAGACGTGCAATCCACGAGGAACACACAAGATATAACGGCGCTTGCAGCACAGGAAGAAATGTCGGAAAACATGGACACGTCAAATACATGTAAAAGGCCCAGGGAAGACGCGGAAGGCGAGAAGGCTGCTACAATGAAAGAAGTGGAACAACCACCGGCCAAGGCGATGAACGTGCGCCGTAGACCGGCACCTAACATCCTCAGCGAACGTCGAATAGCCGAGAACCTCCCACCAACCCAGGTGCAACAGACACAACCGCCGCAGCAGCAACCAGTGCCGAATCAGCAGACATTGCATCAGCGACTGACAGATCATCAACAGAAGGGGCCTTCAGCGGGGCCCCCTTCAGATCAAAAGCCCCCGTAAGGTGGGGGTCTGGATTAAGTGACACAAGTATTGACCCGGCGGAAGCACCAACAAATGGAGCGCAGTGGTGAAGTGTGCATAATGTGCTGCGTGAAACGTGCGCGGCGCTCTACTTTTGTGATCAAAAGAAAGGGGACCTATCAGACCATATCGAACCTTGGACCTGATGGTGATAAAGGAGCATCAGAGGTGAGAACCATGTGGCCGGGACGGCCATTCACGTCCTAATGGCTATGAGCGTCGAAGCAGAATTGAGAGTTGCGACACTCAATGTCAGGGGACTTGCCGCTCGACGAAGGCAGTATCAATTAAGTCGTTTGATGCTTGAACGTGATCTCGATGTTATTGCCATTCAGGAAACAAAAGTTGAAGGGCAAGATCAGACTGACCGAATGGTGTCCCCTTTTAGAGCCCGGTATGATGTGTGTGTGTCTCATGCCGTTGGAATGTCGGCGGGTTGTGCACTGTTCCTTAAAAATTCTATTGGTATAGTTGAGGAGACTGTAACTGTGTCTAGTACTGGGAGATTCATAGTTTGCGATTTTACATATAATAATAAAAAATGGCGAGTTGTCTGTGTTTACGCACCGAACAAAGAAGTTGAACGTAAATTATTGTTTGAGAATTTACAGACTTTTCTTAGCTGTGGCAGGATTGTCATTATGCTCGGCGACTTTAATTGTGTTTGCAACCCTCAGGACAGAGCAAAAAAAGCAGCCATAAAAGACCAAAGTGCAGCGCTACTCTGCACTATTGTACAAGATTGTCATCTCGAAGATGTTGGTGATGTGCTCTCTGCAGAAGAGCACTTCACACACTTTCAGAACGAAAGCCATGCGAGGCTAGACAGAGCCTATGTGTCAGTAGAGTTAATGCGAGTATGTTCGAATTATGAAGTAAAAAGTGTGTCTTTCAGTGACCACAGTTTAGTAATGTTCACTATAGGGTATAAAAAGAAGAAGACACGCTTTAACTGGGACGTGTGGAAATTAAACGACTTATTATTAAAAGATGAATTGTTCGTTGAAGCTGTGCAGGATTCCATTAACAAAATGTTAGCTGAGCCTCAAGCGAACGTGATTGAAGCCTGGGAGCGTTTTAAGGAGGTAACAAAGATGAAAGCCATAGAAAGATCCGGTGTGTTACATAGAGCCAAAAAGGAAAAAGAAAAAGATTTGCAATGTCAGTTAGACTTTGCGTTGAGTCTAGAAAGTAAAATGCCAGGAAAGTACACAAAAGAAATAAGGCAGTTAAAAAACCAATTGGAGGCAATTGACATTGAAAAATATAGAGGTGCGGTGATAAGGGCACGTGCGGAAAAATTATCTCTCGGCGAAACACCAACAAAGCGTGCACTTGGGGATGAAAAAAGATACGCCAAGCGAAATGAAATCAAAGCGATTGCAACTGATAGCGGTATTGTACGTGAAGCGACAGCAATTGAGCAAGTATTTGTTGAATATTTCCGAGGCCTACTTGGCCGAAAAGTGAAGGCAGAGGAAGGGTTTGAGGATCAGTTTCTGCATTTGATACCAAAGCTCTCTGATAACGAGAGAGAGCAGCTGGAGATAGCGATTGAAGTGTCCGAAATAGAAAAAGCTATTGACGACCTAGCGGCTGGCAAAGCACCGGGACCTGATGGATTTGGTGCCGCATTGTACAAGACTTTTAAAGGTGTTATTTCTGTTGCCTTACATCGTGTCTTCACGGAGGCTATAAGATTAAAGGTTCTGCCCGGCTCATTTAAAAAGACGCACGTAATACTCATACCGAAAACTGACGACCCCAAAAAATTATTGTCCGTCAAGTCGTACCGACCAATCAGTTTAGCCAACACAGACTATAAAGTGTTTATGAAGGTTCTTGCAGGCAGGTTGCAAAGGATGATGAAAATACTAGTTGGACCACACCAGACTTGTGGTATAAAAGGACGCACAATAAATACAAATGTTCATGTAGCGAGAAGCGTGCTGGAGAGTTGCGATGTGTTTGGTAGCAAGGTTGCAATGTTGCAATTAGATCTGGAAAAAGCCTTTGACCGTGTAAATCATGATATCCTTTTTTTGATACTAGAATATGTTAATGTAGGGTCTGTCATTTTGGAAGGGGTAAAAATGGCCTATAGAGAGTGCTTTACGAGTCTTGTAATTAATGGGCGACTTACTGAAAGCTTTCAAGTGACAAACGGTGTGCGGCAAGGTGATCCCATTTCGGCTTTATTATTTGCAATATATATGGAACCTTTCTGCATGAAGATTATTAGCAATGAAACAATAAAAGGGTATCAGCTAATGAACAGTGAAGTTAAAATGCTAACATATGCCGACGATATTGCCGTGTTTTGTAGCGATAAGGAAAGTGTCAGTGAAGTGATACGTCATGTGGCCTATTTTTGCAAGATGACAGGCAGTGCAGTAAACTGGGACAAATGCCTAGGCTTGTGGCATGGTTCTTGGGAGACCACCCCACAAAACTTTGCAAATATGAACTGGTCACTTGTACCGACGAAGTATCTCGGAGTACCCCTCCAGCATTACAAAAACACGGATGATTACTGGAAAGAGATATGTGAGAGCACTCGTGAGAAGACAAGAAACTGGGGTGGTAGGGAACTTTCTATGTTTTCTAGAGCGACTGCATGCAATTGGTTCATTGTTTGCAAAGTATGGTATGTTCTGCAGTTCCTATTTATGTCAAGAGCAAATGTGCAGAAATTGCATCGAGTCTTAGCTGTGTTTGTTTGGGGGTCGGTTTGGGAGCGTACGAGTCGAACAAACTTATTTCATTCACTAAGAAATGGTGGTTTAGGATTGGCTCACCTCTTCCTCAAGCAAATTGTGTCTAGATATATTTTTTTACGCGACCAATGTAACCCGTTTGTGAGAACATTTCTACAAATTGTACTTTCTAATAAGATTCCTGATTATGTGGTATCAAGTATGTCTGTGAAATGTAACCTACGTGGATATTTAAGAGAAGTTATAATGGCATATGAAATACTGAAAGTGAGATTTTCAATGGAATATTTATCTGTTGTAAAGAGAAAACGTCTTTACAGAGATCTACGTGACGTAATGCTGCCTCAGCCTATCTACAGATCAGTATACCAGGTTGGTGCTGAACGTGACGTATTGAAGAGAGTGAAAATGATGACCGTACGCGCAAGTGCAAAGACATTTTTTTTTCAGCTGCACAGCGGAACATTGCCCGTAAAACCATGGTTGCAAGAAAAGGGCTTCTTTGTTCCGTGGTCGATGGACTGCCTTATCTGTAAGAAACCCGAGACTGTCAACCACATTTTTCTTGATTGCTGGGATGCTGTTTTTTTCTGTGGGACATTCTGCAGCGTACTTTGAAAAAGGACTTGCCTATCACACCACACGGTATTAGATTCTTGGCTGTAGAAAATGAGGATGGTGTGCCTTATGATATGTTTATGTTGCTTGTGCTTCACAGCGTGTGGCGAACTAGAATGGCAGTAAGACACGTAGATAAAGATGCCCGATGTGCGCATGAATACTTCACGGAAAGTATTGTATACATAAGAGACGTGTTATCTTCCAGAGAAGAAAGACCTGAATGGGTGTCGTTGTTGAATGTGTTGGCTACAATGAAGCAGTTTTAAATGAAACCAGTCAAAGCCAGGCTGGTGTTTTTTTAAACTTGTTTAAAAGTGATCGTAAATTGTATTTTTTTTTTGTGCGAAGCCGGCAATAAAGAAAAAAAAAAAAGCCGAAATAGCTCAGTTGGGAGAGCGTTAGTCTGAAGATCTAAAGGTCCCTGGTTCGATCCCGGGTTTCGGCGTCCTATGCGCTTTTTTTGTTAAATCTTTCGGTACACAGGAATTTAGCAATAATTCTAAGGAGTTAAACAATTACGCAGGTAAACACACATGCTTGATTAAGAAATGCTGATTCAGAATGCATCGCGGCAGTAGGCAATGCGAAAGAACCGCAACAGCGTGAGAGACCTGAAATAATGTGCAACAGCTCTAATAAAGCGGCTTTACCGAAACGCAAGAACTGTTAAATCCCGCTTTATCTCTTCTACCGTGTGCCGAAATAGCTCAGTTGGGAGAGCGTTAGACTGAAGATCTAAAGGTCCCTGGTTCGATCCCTAGTTTCGGCGTCCTATGCGCTTTTTTTGTGAAATCTTTCGGTACACAGGAATTTAGCAATAATTCTAAGGAGTTAAACAATTACGCAGGTAAACACACATGCTTGATTAAGAAATGCTGATTCAGAATGCATCGCGGCAGTAGGCAATGCGAAAGAACCGCAACAGCGTGAGAGACCTGAAATAATGTGCAACAGCTCTAATAAAGCGGCTTTACCGAAACGCAAGAACTGTTAAATCCCGCTTTAACTCTTCTCCCGTGTGCCGAAATAGCTCAGTTGGGAGAGCGTTAGACTGAAGATCTAAAGGTCCCTGGTTCGATCCCTAGTTTCGGCGTCCTATGCGCTTTTTTTGTTAAATCTTTCGGTACACAGGAATTTAGCAATAATTCTAAGGAGTTAAACAATTACGCAGGTAAACACACATGCTTGATTAAGAAATGCTGATTCAGAATGCATCGCGGCAGTAGGCAATGCGAAAGAACCGCAACAGCGTGAGAGACATGAAATAATGTGCAACAGCTCTAATAAAGCGGCTTTACCGAAACGCAAGAACTGTTAAATCCCGCTTTAACTCTTCTCCCGTGTGCCAAAATAGCTCAGTTGGGAGAGCGTTAGACTGAAGATCTAAAGGTCCCTGTTTCGATCCCGGGTTTCGGCGTCCTATGCGCTTTTTTTGTTAAATCTTTCGGTACACAGGAATTTAGCAATAATTCTAAGGAGTTAAACAATTACGCAGGTAAACACACATGCTTGATTAAGAAATGCTGATTCAGAACGCATCGCGGCAGTAGGCAATGCGAAAGAACCGCAACAGCGTGAGAGACATGAAATAATGCGCAACAGCTCTAATAATGCAGCTTTACCGAAGCGCAAGAACTGGTAAATCCCGTGTTCACTCTTCTCGCGTGTGCCGAAATGGCTCAGTTGGGAGAGCGTTAGACTGAAGATCTAAAGGTCCCTGGTTCGTTCCCGGGTTTTCGGCGTCCTATGCGGTTTTTTTCTTAAATCTGTAGGTACAGAGGAATTTTGCAATAATTCTAAGGAGATAAACAATTACGCAGGTGAACACACATGCTTGATTAAGAAATGCTGATTCAGAATGCATCGCGGCAGTAGGCGTTGCGAAAGAACCGGAACAGCGTGCGAGACATGAAATAATGTGCAACAGCTCCAATAAAGCGGCTTTACCAAAACGCAAGAACTGTTAAATCCCGCATTCACTCTTCTCCCGTGTGCTGAAATAGCTCAGTTGGGAGAGCGTTAGACTGAAGATCTAAAGGTCCCTGGTTCGATCCCGGGTTTCGGCATCCTATGCTCTTCTTCTGTTAAATGTGTCGATACACAGGAATTTTGCAATACTTCTAAGGAGTTAAACAATTACGCAGGTGAACACACATGCTTGATTAAGAAATGCTGATTCAGAATGCATCGCGGCAGTAGGCGTTGCGAAAGAACTGCAACAGCGTGAGAGATATGAAATAATGTGCAACAGCTCTATTAAAGCGGCTTCACCGAAACGCAAGATATGTTAAATCCCGCTTTCACTCTTCTCCCGTGTGCCGAAATAGCTCAGTTGGGAGAGCGTTAGACTGAAGATCTAAAGGTCCCTGGTTCGATTCGGGTTTCGGCGTCCTATGCGCTTTTTTGTTAAATTTTGGTACACAGGAATTTTGCAATATTTCTAAGGAGTTAAACAATTACGCAGGTGAACACGCATGCTTGATTAAGAAATGCTGATTCAGAATGCATCGCGCCAGTAGGCGTTGCAAAAGAACTGCAACAGCGTGAGAGATATGAAATAATGTGCAACAGCTCTATTAAAGCGGCTTTACTGAAACGCAAGAACTGTTAAATCCCGCTTTCATTCTTCTCCAATGTGCCGAAATAGCTCAGTTGGGAGAGCGTTAGACTGAAGATCTAAAGGTCCCTGGTTCGATCCCGGGTTTCGGCATCCTATGGTCTTCTTTTGTTAAATGTGTCGGTACACAGGAATTTTGCAATATTTCTAAGGAGTTAAACAAATACGCAGGTGAACACACATGCTTGATTAAGGAATGCTGATTCAGAATGCATCGCGGAGGTAGGCGTTGCGAAAGAACTGTCACAGCGTGAGAGATATGAAATAATGTGCAACAGCTCTATTAAAGCGGCTTCACCGAAACGCAAGATATGTTAAATGCCGCTTTCACTCTTCTCCCGTGTGCCGAAATAGCTCAGTTGGGAGAGCGTTAGACTGAAGATCTAAAGTTCCCTGGTTCGATCCCGGGTTTCGGCGTCCTAGGCGCTTTTTTGTTAAATTTTGGTACACAGGAATTTCGCAATATTTCTAAGGAGCTAAACAATTACGCAGGTGAACACACATGCTTGATTAAGAAATGCCGATTCAGAATGCATCGCGCCAGTAGGCGTTGCGAAAGAACCGCAACAGCGTGAGAGACATGAAATAATGTGCAAGACCTCTAATAAAGCGGTTTTACCGAAGCGCAAGAACTGTTAGATCCCGATGTCACTCTTCGCCCGTCTGCCGAAATAGCTCAGTTGGGAGAGTTTTAAACTGAACATCTAAAGGTCCTTGGCTCAATCCCGGGTTTCGGCGTCCAAAGCAATTTTGTGTAAATCTTTCGGTATACAAGTATTTTGCAATACTTCTAACGAGTGAAACGGTTACGCAGGTGAACACACATGCTTGATAAAGAAAGGCTGATTCAGATTGCATCGCGACAGTAGGCGTTGCGAAAGAACCGGAACAGCGTGAAAGACATGTAATAATGAGCAACAGCTTTAATAAAGCGGTTTTACCGAAGCGCAAGAACTGTTAGATCCCGCTGTCACTCTTCTCCTGTCTGCTGAAATAGCTCAGTTGGGAGAGTGTTAAACTGAACATCTAAAGGTCCTTGGCTCGATCCGGGGTTTCGGCGTGTAAAGCACGATTTGTTAAATCTGTCGGTATACAAGTATTTTGCAAAAATTCTAATGAGTGAAATGGTTACGCAGGTGAACACACATGCTTGATAACGAAATTCTGATTCCGATTGCATGGCGGCAGTAGGCGTTGCAAAAGAACCGGAACCGCGTGAAAGACATGTAGTAATGTGCAACAGCCCTAATAAAGCAGTTTTACCGAAACGCAAGAACTTTTAAATGCCGCTTTCACTCTTCTCCCGTATGCCGAAATAGCTCAGTTGGGAGAGCGTTAGACTGAAAATCTAAAGGTCCTTGGCTCGATCCCGGGTTTCGGCGTCCAGAGCACTTTTTTGTTAAATCTCTCGGTATACAAGTATTTTGCAATACTTCTAACGAGTGAAACGGTTACGCAGGTGAACACACATGCTTGATAAAGAAATGCTGATTCAGATTGCATCGCGGCCGTAGGCGTTGCAAAAGAACCGGAACAGCATGAAAGACATGTAGTAATGTGCAAAAGCTCTAATAAAGCGGTTTTACCGAAGCGCAAGAACTGTTAGATCCCGCTGTCTCTCTTCTCCCGTCTGCTGAAATAGCTCAGTTGGGAGAGCGTTAAACTGAACATATAAAGGTCCTTATATCGATCCCGGGTTTCGGCGTTCAAAGCACGATTTGTTAAATCTGCCGGTATACAAGTATTTTGCAATAATTCTAACGAGTGAAACGGTTACGCAGGTGAACACACTTGCTTGATAAAGAAATGCTGATTCAGATTGCATCGCGGCAGTAGGCGTTGCAAAAGAACCGGAACAGCCTGAAAGACATTTAATAATGTGCAACAGCTCTAATAAAGCGATTTTACCCAAACGCAAGAACTGTTAAATCCCCCTGTCACTCTTCTCCCGTCTGCCGAAATAGCTCAGTTCGAAGAGCGTTAGACTGAAAATCTAAATGTCTTTGGCTCGATCCCGGGTTTCGGCGTCCAAAGCACTTTTTTGTTAAATCTGTCGGTAGACAAGTATTTCGCAATAATTCTAACGAGTGAAACGGTTACGCAGGTGAACACACCTGCTTGATAAAGAAATGCTGATTCAGATTGCATCACGGGAGTAGGCATTGCAAAAGAACCAGAACAGCGTGAAATACATGTAATAATGTGCAACAGCTCTAATAAAGCGGTTTTACCGAAACGGGTTTTGTTTGGCTGGCCGCATACAGTGCTCCACTTTCACGTGTTCTTGGCCCGTTACCGGGCCCCGCCCGTGTCTGGACAAGCTCACTATTCCTTCTGGAAGACTTCCGGGACACGCCGACAACATCCGGGCCCCGGTCCGACCCCAGGCTGGCCCCCCAGGCCCCTTCAAAAGTACGAAGCGGCGCGGCGCCGCGCTAACCCTAACGCGCCGCGCCTGCACCTCCCTGATGCAGAGTCCCGCCCAGCACTCGACACCAACGACAACTTACGCCCTGTCGGTAAGCCCAGCCTCCTCCGGTCGTACGCCTGATACAGCCGTGCCTCCGCTGTCACCATCTGGCAATGTCACCAGCCCCGCGCCGACAACAATACAGCAACAGGCAGCGTTCCTCAACAGCGCGCACGGTCCAGCAATGTGCAACGCTGGTGGCGTCTCTGCTACTCTCAGCTTGATAGCCACGCAAACGCCGGAGCCCGAGAGCCGTAATGCAGCGTTGGCATTGCAATGAACCACGCCTGCTGCTCTCCCCACCTTATCTGCGTCTGGCCTACCCATTGGAAATTCCGAGTCTGTCGACAAGCGCGTTTCGACGAGCGTCGTTCCTTCCATCGCCGAAGTTTTGCCTTCCATAACTTCAGCTGACGACTTATCGACGGAAATGGACTTCGCGGCATCGCAAGTCAACGAAGACAATACGCCATCCCCTGAAGGCAGCTGGAACACCGTTAGTGCCAATCGAAAACCTGCCTCGACCGCCCGCCCCCGCTCCGAGCTCATCACCGTCGGAATCCAACTTCCACCCGGAACACTCACGCCGAAACTGCCTCTCTATGACCTGCTTTCTACCATCACAGCCGCCGCAAATCTCTCTCCCAAGACCAGTGCGGAGGTCACCCTTCAAGCCAAACCTGCTCAGAGCCTTGTGTTTCTGAAAACGCACTCACCTCTCACTGCCCACCTCCTACTCTCCCTCACAAGTGTGGAACTTAATGGTAAGCCGATCACCATTAAGCCCTATGCCCTCAGTCCTCCAATATCATGTCTCGGCGTCATACACAACGTCGGTGGTCACTTCACAACATCTCAGCTCTTGCATGACCTCGAATCCTTTACTTCAGATATACTCGCTGCACGTATGATGGGCTCCACTGAATCCGTCCTCATAACATTTGCTGGAACCATCATCCCTCGCTTTGTGTACTTCAAACGCGTCTCTTTCCGATGCCGTCCACATAAACCCAAGCCCCCTACTTGCACTCGGTACCTTGCTATAGGGCACCGTGCTCATCAATGCCCCCAACACAGCGTTCCGGCCAAGTGCCGCCGCTGTGCGTCTCCTCTACCGGCAGATCCCGATGCTCACGTTTGCGCCCAACCCTGGTGCATCCATTGCCAAGTCAACACCCACTCATCTCTCGACTCCACCTGCCCCTACCTTCTAGCTAAGCAACGCGACTGCGCCAAAGCAGCTTTTCTCCGTCGCACAGCCATGCGTCGAGCCACTCAGCCTTCGCCGCCCTCCTCTTCAGCGCATGAGCTCCTATCACCTCCCGCAACATCCCCCCCGGGCTCATACGCCGCTAAGGTTAAGGGAACACCTCCCATGTGCACTTCTTCATCAAACACACCTTCACCATCTTCAAGTAACGAGAGCCGCTCCTTCGATCTGCGACTGGCTATATTGGAGCGCAACCAGCGCGAGCAACAGCGCGTCTCAGATGAGCTACAACAGAAAATACTTGCACTGACACAGACACTCGCAACTACCACCTCCTCTCTTACCGCTCAACTCACGGAGCTAAATAAGCAACTCACCACACTCACCGCCCCGACCTACAGCTCCCATGTAACCAAATTGGCCGACATGGTCCATACCACCACCACTGCGCATCACACTCGTTTGGTCCAGCTGGAAAATTCAATTGTCCGGATTCTTACGACCCTCGAAACCCAATCTAAGCAACTGGAATCTTTCACCTATATGCTTAACTCCCTGCAGGAGTCACTTCCCCCGGCAAAAAAGAAGGAACGCGCACGCGTAGGCGCTTCCTCTACTCCAAAGACCTAGATGGTGCGTGAAAAGGACCTCGATATTTTGCAGTGGAACTGCCGCAACTTTCGTCATAATAGGACCCCTCTCCACCAATATCTTCTCACCCGCCAAACATTACCCCATTTTCTCCTTATACAGGAGACTCGGGCGGCCCTTGCCGTCCCAGGCTACCGTGCATATCACGCTACGACGGGAAAGCCACTTGCGTCCATTTATGTACGCAATGACGTTCTCGTTGAACCACTAGACGTACCCTCCCCCCTCCTGAAACATTTAGTTGGTGTGGTCTATTACCAACCATCTACCCGTATTTCTCTCGCTCTGATGTCATTTTATAACCCCCCTGTCACGTCCTCTTTGTTTAGTGCTCTTGGCAAATTCCTGCATTCCCTTCCATCGACCACCCATATCCTCTTTGGGGGTGACTTTAATGCTCCTCATAGGCTCCGGGGTTACCCCCAAACACTCAAATCAGGTCGCCTTCTACACTGCCTCGCCCAGGAACGCCATCTCACCCTTCTTAATACTCCTGACACCCCTACTCGAGCGGGCACTGTTTCACAGCGTTCCACTACACTCGATCTCACGTTCTCTCGGAGTTCCCTTCCTTTTCAATGGCAGGTCTCTGCTGAAAATTTTTTCAGTGATCACTTTCTCATACACATCACCACCCCTCTTTCCCACAATAGGCGGAAACAACGAGTCGCTCACACAGACTGGGAAGCATTCCGTAATAACCTTTTGTCTCACTCATTTAAAACTTACGACGACTGGACGTCGCGGATCTCCGCAGCAATGACATCCTGTAGTCACCGCGCTCGTTTTCAACTCCCCATTCCTGACCCTGATCCTCACTTCCTCCAATTATGGCGACGTCATAAACGTTTGAAACGCGCTCTCCGCTCGCAGCCACACAACTTCCAACTTTCCTTCCGAATTGATGCTCTGCGGGCTGAAATTATCGCTTACGGCACTTCTCTCGAGCACTCTCGTTGGAACACGCTGTGTGACGGCCTTGACTCCGCACTGCACTCGCGCTCTATATGGTCTCTGTTTAGGTCTCTCTTAGGTACCAAGCCTGCCGTTGCTCCCACCCTAGCTAAAGCTCTCACTCAAGGGACTCCATCTGATGTGTTTGAAAATTTAAAATCTCTGTATTTCCCACCCCCCCTCACACCTTCCTACCCAGATTACTGTGGCGAAGCTAACCCAGACCTGGACCGCCCATTCACGCTCAGGGAGCTGGAAGCTGCCTTAGCCACTCAATCTACCCGCTCGGCACCCGGTGAGGATGAGATAACATATACTACATTACGTAATCTCCCCGACAACGCGAAGGAATTTCTCTTACACACATTCAACGAAGCATGGAACAGCGGCTGTCTTCCAAGCTCTTGGACATCATCTCTAATTTGCATCATTCCGAAGCCCGGCAAACCTCCATCTCTCTCTAACCTTGGCCCTATCTCTTTGACGTCATGCGTTGGCAAGAGTCTTGAACGAATGGCCTTGACTCGACTGTCTGATTTTATTGAGGCGAAAGAGTTTTTCCCTCCTTCTCTTATTGGCTTCCGACGCCACGTTTGTGCGCAGGACATGTTCCTTGTTCTTCAGCATACTTTTCTTTCACCTTCTCGTAGTCAGATCCATGCGCTTGTAATCGTCGATGTACGGAAGGCATTCGATGGCGTGAGTCATGACCACATACTCGCTCAGCTCTCCTCCCTGTCATGTGGCTCCCGCATGTATTCTTACATCCGATCATTTCTTTCCAATCGAGTTGCTCGCTTCAGAGTCGATACTCATTTGTCTAACCCACACTCCCTCACCCGCGGCACTCCTCAAGGTGCCGTACTATCTCCTACTCTATTTAATATGGCTATGGCCCCCCTTGCCTCCCAACTGTCCCAAATACCTGACCTCCACCATATTTTTTATGCAGACGACATCACTCTCTGGTGTACGTCTGGATGTCCCGGCCACGTGCAGGATACTTTGCAACGTGGCCTGGACCTTATCGCTTCCTTTCTCGCTACTGCTGGCCTGTCCCCTGCACCGGAGAAATGTGAACTACTTTTGCTAAACCGGTCGGTGTACCAGCGCTCCCACAATACCCTCATCTCCCTACATCTTTCTAGCTCTCTCATCCCCACTGTTCAGCAATGCAAAGTTCTTGGCTTCCCTTTGCACGCGACAAAGAACGCGCAGGCCCTACATCACGCTGTGAGAACTTGCCATTCGGTGACCCACCTCCTGCGACGCGTTGTCACTCGGCAGTCGGGGCTCCACGAGGCTCATGCGTGCCGGGTTGCACATGCGCTTGCCCTTAACAAGTTCTTGTACTTTGTACCCTACGTTCATTTCACCGAAACGCAACTCAACACACTCGAAAGCTCTATTAGGCCTCTACAAGGCAGCTCTAAACCTCCCTCTCACTACCTCTACCACTAAGCTCTTTGCCACAGGCCTCTTCCATCCATTACGTTCTCTTATTTCTCTGCACCACGACTCTCAGATTGCCCGTCTTTCTCTCACTCGTCGAGGCCAATGGCTATTAGCCCAAGCTGGAATCCCTCACATTCCCGTTTCCGTTCCCACCTTGCCTTCTGCCGCTAGCACCGCTGCTTCTAACCTTCGCATCCTTCCCCTCCCATCCGATATGTCTCCCGTTCGTCACGCCGGCCGGCGTCATGCGGCAGCACAGCATCATTCTCCTCCTCTCTCTACACAGG